CTCAAAATAAAGCCAGAACATCGAATTTACAGCTAATTGATTTTCACAGTTGGATTAAATAATTTTCCCTTCCCTGATTTAGCGTATTTTACGCGAATAAAATAATTAGATAAGCAAATAAATAAGGACCTCCAAGTTAACAGAAACATCAATTTTACCATAACTTGGAGTGTTTCATAAATAGATGTGAGTAAGCGCCATTAAATCCTTTTTTTTCCCATTGTGAGTAAATAAAGTGGTGTTTATATGTAAATAAAAGATCTTTCAAAAATAGAACAGTTTTAGGTTTCTGTATTACTGTGTGGTTTCTCGTGAATGGGGAAACAGCCAAAAATAGGACCGTTTTTCTGTCCGTGCAGCTGTGAAAGGGGACTTTTTGAAGCTGCAATGACGTCACCTAAAACATTACAATTTGTGTCGCTTCAGCCTGCTAATGTGCATGTAACAAAACCCTGCTTTGTGCAACGGACTCCGTATCGTCTCTTTGTCATGCCTGTTGTTTGAACTCGGGGGATAAAAATCCCTCGTGGAAAAAAATGTGATGGCGCGTGACCACCTGTGAGCACAGGCGCGTGGCCGCCCCGTCACTTCAGCGTACACGCCCCCGTTGCGTGGTGAATACGCCCGCGTGCGCGTGTAAGCGCCTGTCCTGAGGCGCGTACACAAGCACACCATCAACACCGGCTCCTGCGCTCGGAGAGAGCATCACCAAAACATTAGCTCCTCTGCCCAGTCACCGAGGAGGACAAGGGGGGGGGATTTTAGAGGTTAAATTGGAAAAAGGGAAACAGAAGCCGTGCGTCAAGGAGCCGAGGAGAAGAAGGCATCAACCTTCCTTAGAAGAAGCAGAGATTAGAAGAGAAGAGGTCGCAGCAGGAGGCAGATCCGGAGGAGTCGCTCTCCCAGCTTTACGTACACACACCCTGCGCCTCCGCTGCAGCGGGGAGGACAGGACAGGAGAGGAGAGGAGGACCAGAGGAAGAGGAGGAGGACCATGGAGGGGATGCAGGCATATGGGGCCGGGAAAGCCGGAGGAGCCTTCGACCCCGTCACCTTCATCCAGCAACCTCAGACCATCATCCGCATCGTGTCGTGGGTGAGTGAAAGACAAACGGGCAATTTATATAAACAAACGGGGGCGCGCACAGATACTTCAGGTGGAAATTTGAAGAATATACACTTTAATCTCCCAAAAAATAACGTTCTTTCAATTTGTTTACATCGGACCTGAAGATTTGGTTTGTCAACACCAGCCGCGTAAACACGACACTGTGACTAAACTAGTGGTAAACAACAGCATGACCAAAGCATGATATGAACAAATAAAAGTCGACTCTCTTGTGCAGTTTTATGTTTTCTGCGCATGACTGTTCACCAACCCTGCTGTGGACGTGACGTAAACACACCTGTAAAGTTGTCATTGTTAATGTTGTTCATTAGTTGATTTAATTAGACGGAGCCACGTGTGGCCTCCACGTCATCACTAAAATAATGATGACGACGATGATGATGATTATTAATGAGTCAGATAATAAACAATATTTGATGACGTACAGTATGTGATTGACAGGTGGTCCATGATCACAGTACAGTTTGTGCTGAACCAAAACATGGAGTAAAGATCAAGAACCTGTTGCTATTTAACTACTTTATTGTCCCCAGTAAATATTTTTTTTACTAAATTCTCTGTAAATCTGTAATGGATCACTGAAAAGATACTACCAACCCAGGACTAACAGACCAGGACCAACTAGTCTGAACCTTCTAGAACCTAAGAACAGTTCTGAGCTGAAACACTGACACCTGTTGTATCTTGGTTTAAGTTTATATTAATTTACAGCAAAAGTTTTCATATTTTCTTGTTTTCATTTTTCTTATTGTTTTCTTTAATCTTGGAGCCTAAATTTTGGCCTATAATCTCACTCTCCTTTATTTCCAAACCATCTTCATCCTTTATTTTTTAAACTGGCGTCAGAATAACAATCTGTTCAATAACGTTTCCAACCAAACGTTCTTTCTTAAAAGAACCCTTGTATGTTATAATAAGAGATTAGGGATTAGTAATCCCTAATCACTGAGTGTGACCTGGTTCAATCAAACACATCTCATGTTGCTGTTTGTTTGGTTTTTTTTTAAGCCATGTTTAGTTTGCCCAGTGTTGTTCCACTTCATAACCTCGATCCTGTTCTTGTGTCCAACGCTACGATCTGTGGCAGAAAAAGCCAGAGTGTGGATTATCTCCGCGTGTCTGTTCGTGCACTAAAATAACACCAAGAGGCTTTTCACGTATGCTGAACAGATTAGGAGGTCGTGGATTCTGGTGAACACACTGTTTAAACTTTACACCCGTGTCTCAGCGGCTCAGCAGTTAATGAAGTTTGAATATCTCCGACGCTGCTTTAGTGTCAATATCCAGAGAAGTTAACATTTGCTTTTTTTGCTGAGAAAATTGACGTTACGAGCTTCTACAAAAGTCCTTAGAATCTGTTCTCTTAAATGTCAGCTCGATATAAGAACTGAGCCAACAGTGCGTTAAGCCCTCAGGTCTGTGGCTGTTCTGAGAACAAGTCATGTGATTTTTTTTTTTTTAACCCATTGGTGGGAAATATGTCTGGACTACACAGAAGTTCTGTGTTCTCTGAAAATTATGTTTTAGGACCAATGATGAACTAAGGCTGAAAAAAAAATCAAATTTTTTAATATTATTTTATTATATATATATATTATTGACCAGAGTCTGACAGACAGTGTGTAGGAAAATCTCCTTCCACATCCAGGTATGTGTGAGTCTGTGTGGGCCGCCACTACATGCCCTGCCCTTCAGATGTCACCAGAGCAACAGCGTGTCGCCATAGTAACAGCCACATCCTGAGTTGTGATGTTTGGTGTGAAGTAGCAGTACTCTGCTGTGTGTGTGTGTGTGTGTGTGTGTGTGTGTGGTGTCATATATGGGTGTGAAAAAGAGGAGGATTGTTTCTATATGTTGACCTCGTCTGCAGGAGGACCGTTGTTTGATTGTGTGACGATAAGTGTGTGTGTGTGTGTGTGTGATAAGGAAGATAGAAGAGAGAAAATGAAATCTTTATTGAAATGGTAGCTAGCGTATACCTACCCATCCATTCATCCATCCATCCATCCATCCATCCAGCAATACTAACCAGCTATTAATTTTCATCATAAATCAATGACACGTTGGACAAAGACAGAAAATATTGTCAAATTTTTACAGAGTCTAAACAACAGTTGAAGATCCTGTTTAGTTGAAAACTGAATTTTGTTAACTCTATGCAAATTGTTGACTATGTATAAATACTAGGGCTAAAGACTTTTATCACCAAAACAATGCGGCCCAACCAGAACGTTCCGCTGCGATGAGTCATGCATGAACTCCTTACGGTGAAACGCACAACGAGACGCACAACGTATGACAGGAAATGTCAACGCGGATGATGTGGCATTTTCATTTGAAAAGTCAAACGTTTTTTTTCAGCTGGTAGATAAGCTGCAGCAGGACAAAGGTAATGTGTGATAAATTCCATCACCTCCTCGTGAAACACACACACAAACACACACACACACCGTTGAAGTTTGTTAGTGTCTTCACTTCAGAATGTCGTTTGTTTCTAATTCAAGCTGT